CCCCTGCCATGTCTCTGTTACCTAGAATTGCTTTTGCTATTCTGGTTCTCTTCTTGTTCCAAATGCATTTTTGGATTGTTTTCTCAAGGTCCATGAAGTCCTAGACATATTTTTGAGACATTTTATGTTATGATTTTATTAAACTGAAATAAGGAAAAGGCAATGGAAAAGCCTTAAAGATGTTGCTTTAAGTGTTTCTGAGTGTTACAATCCAAATTACTCATAATAATTGCTATTAACATGTCATATAGTAGCTCAGTCAATACATAAGAAAATGTTTTACTTGTATACCTTTGAAATATTCTGCATGTCATATTTTCCAAATTATATCTAGGAAAAGCCAGGCATTTAGACCTTAAGAGATCAGTATTTGAGCCAAGCCTGTGCAATTTAGCAATTCAGCAAAACAGTCTCAAAGTAAAACACAAACTAACTAACTAACTAACTGACTAACTCACTGACTAACTAACTAACTGACTGACTAACCAAAATGGGGCTGAGAATGCAGGAAAAAGACTGAGTTCAATCCTTAGTACTGTAAAGAAAGGGAAGAAAGGCAGAAGTGGGGGAGGAAGGAAGGAAATAAGGAGGGAGAGACGAAGAGAGGAAACGCAGAAAGAGAGGAAGCAGGAAGGGAAATGAGGGAGTATGGAGAGCACTTGCTGGATTTGGAGTTTGATAAAATGCAAAGTAATGGACCTTATTGTTCAACCTCCTATTTTCTGAAGTCTTATAAACGTGGTGGTTTGGATTCTATGTAGGCACAAACAAGGTGTGTGAATTTTGAGAAACTTGATAAAATGGAATTATTTTCCTTGTCTTGAAATGTGGTGTTATGATCCTAAAAGTTGAATGGGTGGAAAATAGCCCCAATGCCTCGAGAGAGTTAGGGCACAAGGAGTTGATGAGACATGACCACGGACAAGGTGAGTAAGTGCTTTCTGTTTGCTGACGTGTGGACTGAAGAGCACAATGAAGACAAAGACTCAGATGAGCACTGCAGAGCATGGTTTGTGAAGGAAGCAGAGGGAATCCTGGAGGAGTCCTGACAAGAAAGGGCCCATGGGTGGTGAGAATCTGGGACAGACAAGAGACTGACCTGCAGTTGGAAGGCAGGCAGGTCACACAGCTGCACGAAGCACCTTCAGAAAGAGGAGCAAGTAAACAGGGTCAGCGGTGCGTAGGACTTTCCTACTCCCGACCAGGAGTGAGAGAGGAGCCACTCACATGTGAACATTTGCAGTAACACGAAGTAAAGCCGTTCTGTCACATAACCCTGCATAACTCAAACGCGTTCCTAGAAAAGAGTGGTGTTTCTGTCTGGGATTGCCTGAGCAGTCATTGTGGTATTCTACACCGAGCTGGCTCAGCAAGTCCAACTTCCCATTAGTGATATTTTTCAGGCTCAGTTATCAAACATCCGCCCAGTAAACAAACCATGTGGTCAGACTGTTTTATCTCATACGTGCTCACAGTGAATCCAATTACATTTAACTGAGAGGTCTGTCCCTATAAACTTAGTGAACAAAGGTGGACAGGAGAGACGACAGAAGGAGATGCTTGTGTGACCCAGCTGCTCGGACCCGCGCAGTCTCGGGATGCACGGAGGCCGCACCCCCCTGGCGGCAGTGGGGCGAACACACAGGGCCAGCCTTGGTGCAGAAGCTGTGGGCCCTGCCTGCCAGCTCTGGCCTGGGAATGGCCGTCTCCCCGAAGGTGAGGTCTGTGGTGGACACAACCCAGAGGCCGCTAAGCTGGGGCACCTGAGCCACAGAGCCCGGAGGGGCCGGGTGCGCCCTGAGCCCACTCAGAGTCTCCAGGTGCAGAGACCGCACTCCGGTCTGTCCCAGGAGCCCCATCTCTGCCTGGTGGGGCAGAGCAGGGCCCATCTGTGGGCTCCAGCCTGCACCTGGGGTCTTCAGTTCTTTCCAGGCACGAGTCTCGCTCCAGGCAGAGGTTCTTGCTGGTTTTCATGCCTGCTCCTGGGCTCCTGGCAGGCGCAGTCTTGCTCCCTGCTCCGACTCCGGGGTTGGAGAAGGGGTGGCAGGAGCAGGCCGTTGCCTGGCAGAACACATTCCGGCGGCTCAGCCTGCAGCTGGGGCGTGAGGCAGTGGCCAGCACCGTCACCCTGGAGAGCTCAGCGCTGCGGTCTGACCTCAGCGTCTGCTCTGCTCTGCTCTCCCGGTGGGAGACAGCGCTGCCTGGGCCCGGGGCTGGGGAGGGCGGTGTGTGCAGCTCTTCCCTGCCTGCCTCGTCCACACCCACCCAGCCTGTAACGCTGTTTCCCTTAGGTCTTGCGAGCTTCCGGGCAAAACACAGCTTTGCTCCAAAGGAAATAAGAGATTACTTCGAACCAAGTATGAGCAGCTAAAGACTGGAGCGTGAATCCAGTGTCTGGGGTAAAATGCTTCACCATGGACTACGTTACACGAACTGTACACGCAGGGAAGGAAAGAAAGTCGTAAATCCCACAGTGTCGGGGAGACAGGGAAGACTTCTTCCTGGGGTTCAGAGCTAAAGCGCTCTTAGCTTTAGGGCGGGATGCTGGAGCTCTTGGTCTCAGCCCTGCGCCCCAGAGCTACACCAGGGCTCACAGGAGCCTATGTCAGGTGCAAAGGCTGAAAGCAAACGACTGTTCTGGGGACTCAGACCCCCTGGGACAGCTCTGCCTCAGCCTGCAGCACCCTTCTCCCCACAACCCAAGGGTCAAGTGAGCCAGGGCCACACAGCCCGCAGCATCTCTCAGGGAGCCGTGTTCCTCAGAGAAGGCAGCACCTCAGCATGCAGTTCCTGAGCCTATGCAGCAGCGGTCATGGGGAGCCTCACCCAGTCTGTCTCGCCCCACCTGTGAGAACCGCCTGAGATCAGATGTGTTTGTTAGTCACAAAACAGCAGATGGAGACCAAGGGTGGCTTCAGCAACATCGTGACAGCCCAAATACGTAGGTTAATTTACAGGTCACACGGTCAGATGTGGTCAGGGAAATGTGAAGTAAATACACAGTGTGGCCAAATCAACGTAATTACCT